CTTCGGGTACACTCTTTCACTCTAACACAGACATTTTGTAGGTGTTTTGAAGCTGATTGTGTTAAATAAAATGTCTTCACAGTGTAAACTCACAAATTTCATACATTAATATTTTCAGTTGGATTTGAGCAACAAATAATAAAAACTATTATTCTGTAAAAATATATCCTAAGTAATGCTGTCAATACATAGACAAGTTTTCTATCTTCCTATTAAAGACCTGAAACTTCTAGGTAAGCAGAATATTCATTGATCATTATAATTTCATTCATTTCAATATTCTCAATTTGAGCAAAATAGTTTGATTTTTTTCTACTAATAAATAATGATTTAAGGACAGCTGTACTTAAACTATTTTAATCTAGGCTATGAATCTGACACTGATGAACTACTATATTCCATTATGAGAGGTTAGATATTTAATGACAAGCTCTCAAAACAAACCTCCTTCTTGTGATTTCCTTCTTGGTACTGCTTAACTTTGACCTTCATCAAATTGTGTAAACTCTCAATTTTATTATTGGTAAGAAGGAAATAGTAATTATGCCTAAATTATAAGGTTAAATGAGTTAATATTTAGGTAGTGTTTTCAACAGGGCTTATAATTTAACTTATTGTATTTCCAAATGTGATAACTGATCATATCATTTAGGAGATATATTTAGAATTATGGTTAAATAATGTATACTTATAATTCTATGATTTTTAAATCATATTCATTTAATTGATAAATGGGATTCCCATGGAAATATGAGTTTGATCTCAAATGCTAAGATATGTGTCCTTAGTTTTGTGACGTTTCTTTGTTTTGTGAATATTTTATATTAATTATGTCAACTGGAATTTGTATCACACTTTTTAGAGACTTAAACTAATCTATCTCAGGACAGCATGGTGGAAGAGTGCGATGGAGGAAAGCAGCTCACATGATGACCAGGAAGGAGAGAGAGAGAGAGACAGACACACAGACAGACAGACACATTACACTTGCCAGATAAAAATATATACTCCAAGATGCACCTTCAGTTGTGCATTATCTTATACCTTGCAAATAAGATCCCATGACCTTGTGATGCTACATCATGTAYAACCAGAGAAATGAAAAGTTGTTATATTATAATTTCATTCATTGTGTACAATGAATCATAATGCAATCTGCTGTCATATAGACCTACTTAAAATTAACTAACTAATTAATAAAAAAAGAAAGATGCAATGACCTGCTCCACGTCACACAGCATAATTGGTGGAGGTAGAAGTCTAAGCCCAATGTCCTAATTTAGAATGTCTGTGCACTATTTCTGATTCACCATGCATGTTTTATGGGCCTCCCAAATCAGTTAAAGAGTCTAGATTCACTAGAGTCTGCTCCTGTTATCTATCATATAAAAAGCATCAAACCCAAAAGTACTCTGGAACATCTAGTCTAAGATTACTATTGACTGTTTTCATTTATTATTTCCTTCATTCTTTCATTAAGAAGTTACTGAGCATCTGTGAGAAGTACCATACAATGATACTTCACACACACACACACACACACACACACACACACAAAATATAAATGAACTCCGCAGTCAAACTCATGAAGTTGCATGTATTTGCTAGGGCCCTTAATGTGTATTGTTTATGTGGGAAGAAGGCATAGTGATTGACCATAAGTCAGAGTTTGCCTTTAATAATCATTTGGAAGCAAATACATTGGACTACATGTAATGTTTGCCTTAAAAATATTTAAGAGAAAATAAGATAACAGTGGGCCTCTCTGAACAACTTTTAAATAGAATATGGAAAGTTACTGATAAGTTATAGTAGGGATGATGAGATGGTATTGATGATATTGATTTCARTTTTTGCATAGGGTCTTGGTGGGGAAAGGGGAATTTGAATATGAGGTTTAAATTTTCCTTTCTGCTCCTGTCACTCTTTAATTTATTCTGAGGTTGCCCAAAATATATCATTAACTTTTAGTATTGATGGTTGGGATGAGGGTCTGAATTATTTTATCATGACTATATTACACAGGTAAATTTTAGATATATGTGGTATTCACTGGTAACTTCTGTATTCTTCAAGTTGGAAGTATCTCTTATTTGAAGAAGTGAAATTTACTAAATTAGAATAAATGGAGTCCTGAGTACTTCCGCTTAACATTCACAGAATGTTAATACATTGTGGACTAGAAAAGAAGTTATTTATTGTTCTTTCTTCTTCATTAACATATGTTCTGTGACCTTGCATTAAGTTTGTGTTGACAGAAACATTATTTTAATTATTGAGCCACARTCCCGATGAGTTATATATTCATTATAGACATTCTTCATGTGTATTCAGTCAACCACATGACAGAAACTAGGGCAGAGTAACCAAAGTGGCATTTGGGAATTTATGGTTAAAGTTATTTGCATGTGACTCTAGTCAGTTTATACACAGAGTGATGGGTGTTGTGACATTAAGTAAGTGTCATTAAGGAGGCACAGTGTGATCCCTTTGCAAATCAAAATGAATGTACACTGCAGCTGTTTAGCTGATTCATGAGGTAAAGTCTCAACAACAGGTAAAGATGAACCGAAAATATCTTCTATGATATTTACTCTCATAATAGCTACTCTTAACACACATCAACAATTTGTATACAATTAAACTTTTGGATAGGGGGGTTAAAGAAAAAAACCTAAATTCAGTTTTAGATGAACAGTTCCTAGTGTTTTTCTTTGTATTATGAAGACACTTGTTGTCTTTCTTTTTCTCCTCCTTCAAAACTAGCATCTTTCCAGTTACCCTCCTGGGGAAGTAGACCCTGTAAACTGGAGTCATCCTTATCCACAGCAGCATGTAAATCAACCTTGGGAGTTCCAACAAGATGCTGGGTAACCAAATAGTTGGTTACACATTCTAAGCACTGCACTCAGAAATAATCTGACTTAAATGATTCAGATTGAGTAAAGTAAGTTTTAGTTATTAAAATCACATGTTGTTAGTTCTTTAAAAGTTGCTGCTTTGAATTACACATACTAAAATATTTATTGATAAATTTATGTAATGTGTAGGATATGTTACAGAATAACCCAAAAGTGGAGGGAGCAAATGAAGACATGGATAAAACTAGGTTGAGTGTGAAATGAAAATTGTTGAGGGTGGGGGAGGAGGTGGTTCGTTAAATCTTTTACTTTTGTGTGTCTGAAATTTTCTATATTATGTAGGAAATGTCCACTTAGGTCTCAGAGTACTATTTTCCATTCTTTCTGCACAAAAGACACAAAACCCACGGATTTTCACAGCTTGTTTACATATAATAGAACTAGCTTTTTGAGRTTGTTTTTTGTAGGTCTATAAGAAAAGTCTACCCCAGCCACAGAGTATGGATCCCTTTTGACTCTTATGATAGGAGATTTTGTGTAGATGATAACACATACTGAATTTAATGTTCTTACTTTTAAAAGATTGAAAGTTTGGATTTTTGTAAATATTTATTCCTATATTAAATATCAACATGAGGGCTGAGGCTGTAGCTCAGTGGCAGCGTTTGCCTTGCATGTGTGAGGCACTAGGTTTGATCCTTAGCGCCACATAAAAATAAACAAAGGCATTCTGTCCATCTACAGTTACAAAAAAAAAAATTAAATCCACATGAAGAGGTTATTTTAAATGTAGAATTAAGTCTTAGTTGTATCATATTGCAAAATGATGGATCAAAGTTGCTTTGAAGCCCACCAGAACTGAATATATGTGGCAGTAGACATCCAAGGATTTTATATAGATGAATTAGTACCTCTTCACACCACCTGCTTCAACAACTTGGACATCCAGGGTTTTTTCTTAAAGAAAAAAAGATGAACAAGAAAATATTGCAGGGTTTTTTTTTTTCTATTAAGCAATCCAAAGAGTGTTTTCTTTTGACAGTTCACATGATAAAGGAGACATTTAATTTGTTATTCCAGAAGAACTTTAAAGAAACTACCTAGTACAGGATTTGCCCCTGAATGATATGTGGTAACTATCCAATGAGAGGAGAGCTGGAGATTTATTCTGCCACTGACCTGAGCATTGYTGTAGGGCGGGTAGATAAACATTTTTCCATAAAACAAATGGACAGAACAGTCCAAAATTAGACACAGGACATTTCATTTTGCATCTTTATTTAATTTATAAAATGATACTACTTTATTTCACTTCTCCTTTAAAATAAGTTAATGATTTTGACTGTTTTTAAAATAACATACGACTGAAGTCAGAGTATAATGCAAAACAAAAATAGCATTGTAAATACTGTGTACCATTTATCTCTAGAAGAAAGGATGAAAAAAAAAAGTCTTATTCTTATTCCCTAATAATTGTGAGTTCTTCATGTAGTTAGAGAAATGAATTCAGGAGACTTTGAGCAAAATCTCCAATCATTACCAATAAATGGCATTCATTTGAACAGATCTTTTTTTTTTTTTCACTATATACTTTGAAAGCAAGATTAAGAGCAAAACTTAATATCTCACAGTTTAATCATCCAAATGAGCTACTTCAAGATGGAAGGCCTTTAGGATACATGATAGCTTCTATATAAAAATGTATTTTTCCTCACTAATTCCTTACAAATCAAGATTTTAAAAAACCTAGGCAATTAACATATTTAGCCATAGCTATATCCTCAGGAACTTTTTCAAAATAGTCTTTGAAATGTGTTTTTCTTATTGATGCYGTTTTATCTATTATGAACTTTTACCCAAATCTGCTTTTCATAGAATACTTAATGAGCACTGTTGTCTTTTCATACATAGGGACATGATTAAATTTTCGGTATTCTGTAAGGCTTAAAGCCTTGATACRTTAGAATTTTAAGTGAACATTGAGGAAAATGAAGAATTAGACTCCTTCCTTTCTTTCTTCTTCCCCCAATTCCTACCCACACATCTCTTTTGTGCCTTTTTTTACAGATGTAGAACATTGGTATGTCTTGGAACTGTTTGTTTGTAATAAAGAYTAACCAGTGCATTTTGTTTGTTTAGGAGTCAGATGGCCAGGGCTGCCCCTTTTGTCGCTGTGAAATAAAAGGAACTGAGCCCATAATCGTGGACCCCTTTGACCCCAGAGATGAAGGCTCCAGGTGCTGCAGTATCATTGACCCCTTTGGCATGCCAATGCTTGACTTGGACGACGATGATGATCATGATCGAGAGGAATCTTTGATGATGAATCGKTTGGCAAATGTTCGAAAGGTAAAACTAGAAAAATGATTTTAGTTAGGGTGGTGTGAGGACATGAATGTCCACAAATTAAGGATGAGTGTATTGAGGCTTGGGAGGAAAAGAATTCTGGATTCAAAAGTAAGATGAAAATGTAAGTTGTGTTGACAGGCTCACAAAATCATTGGTGGAGGACTAGTCTGCTTAAGGTACTCACACTGGTTTTAATCTTCACAATGACAGTTAGAGAGARTGTTTGTATGGAATGAGACATTAAGACTATCTTAAGACATGTGTGAACAAAAATTTAATAAAGGGCACTCTTAAAACTGAACTCTGCTGAAACTATTCTTTGTTCAGTATAGAAGAAGCYTCTGATAGAATTATTTTCTTAGCAAGGACATCCTGTCATTTTGTTTCTAAGAGGTCATGTAAGATTTGTGAATTTGCTGTAGTCTGGGATTTGCTCATCATCATTGCCAGTTCACTGGGAATGGACGCTACTGTCCTTTGGAGTTTGTGTAAGCCAGCTCACAAAAGACGATTCAGTGAACCAAAAATGCCAGTTGAGTAATTATAAATCAGAAATGTAGTAGTCAAGAGGACTGTACTCTTGGATATCAGACTACTCTCTGTACAGAAATAAACTTAAAATTCAGGTTACATTAAGAAGCTTTGTGCTTCAAAAACTAGAAATGGGAGCAAGTGTTATGCAAGGGCCCACAGATAGGGTGCCACTCTTCCTGCTGACTCATGCAGACAMGGCTAATCAGTCATAGCACTCTTGCCCACTGAGTTTAGGCTTGGCCTACAAAACCTTTCACTGTGATTCATTATGATTTGGCAGGTAACATGAAGACTGTTTGCCATACAGGTGAAGTGATGATAATGTGGTATGGCATCAGATTGTGTTCCTTGTGTAATTCTATCACYATAGTAGGAAAATACCTGCTGTAGAAAACAGAGGATGTTTTTTTTTAATTACMTCAAGGCTGTATCAAACTTTGCCCGATGGCAAACTCTTGCATTTTCTGCTCCAGTGTTCTATGCTGACCAAAGATATTATCTTAGCATTTTTTACAAAAAATATTTTTCCATATAAAGATATGTTGGTATCACAACACGTCTACTCTCAAATCTTGCTTTGCACTGGGATGCCTTTTTTTCTTCACATCATTAGCTTTTCATAAATTTCCCAAACTAACTCACAGAAACTATAATATATTTCAACCTTGATGCCAATAACTATATTTAGTGTTTAGTTTAGTATCCCATTGACCCAAGATACAGATGAGAGGAAGTCATTCCACAGCAGTCCTAAAAGATGAAGAAGGAAAAAAAAAAWTTCAGATTGAAACAGCACTGAGACTTGAGTCTCAAACCAGTTCTAGTTCTGACTTTAGGAAGACCTAGAATAAAGCCCCAGCTGTGTTATAAAGTAATACTGGAATCTTAGGCAAATTACTTAAAATTCTTTCTTCCTCAGTTTCCTGCTTTATGAATATGAACGATGACTTCCCATTGAGTCCTGTGATGATCAAATGAGATCTAGGATTTAAAAAGATAGTGTCATGTCACTGAAATTATGAATGTTCACTACTTAATCACACATATTAATTAAATTAATAATAATGTATGGTAAACATTCAAGGATACATCCCATAATCTGAATTAGTTGAAATTATTTTACCTGTGAAAAAGCTCCATGTAGGATATTGGAAATATTGTTATCTGTGAAGTAGAACACAGAGCTCTGAATCCTGGTATCCCACTCACTCACATGGCCAGGTCACCCAAATACTTGAAGCCTCAACTCAATTCTGAAAAATGATAGAATAGCATCTACCTCCCAGAGTTGTTGAGACGATAAAATAGTGTATSTTATTAATATTGGTTTTATTGATTTATGGGCATTTTTTCAATGAAGTACAATAACTTTTACATGAAAYATATATTTAAATGATTATATAGGTACCTGCATAATTGCATTGATTTTACAACTTGGTCTGCAAAGCCTCAACTATCTGCTGTCAGGCCCCTTATGCAGAAGTTTGCAGTCTSAGTTTGAGGACATGATGTGCATTTAAAGAATGTTTATTGAACACWTGGATGATGGGGAATGACAGAAAAGTATTTGAGAAACATCCAACAGTGCAAGTAGTTCAAGGGACCTGGGTGGTAATGCTTTCTAGCAGGAAAAMAGCATTTCAATATTCTTTACTAAATGGGTTTTCTTTTTTCATTATTCCACATAGAGACGGGGGCTGAAAATTTAAAGTAATTCTTTTAAGAACTTTTATACCTTACTGCTTGAGAAAAGGATACTTCCTTTTAGGAGTTTGGGAAGAGTTGCAGTCTTGCCCTGTTTTCCATTGAATTAAGGAAAACTTGAGGTTCCCTTCAGTGATGGCAGTGATAGGCAACAGGAAACCATAGTAACCTACAATGAGAAGCAGCTTGTCCCAAGGTGACTGTGGTGGTTGACCTTGATGTTTTCACCTACTCCCAAGACCATGCATACTTGCTTCTCTCTGGCATACTGGTAAGCTTTCCACTGGGGAGCTAAGCGGTTTTGACATTAATTCTCTGTGTCCCAGAATTCACACTTCAGTGGGTTGTGTCAACTAGCAGAGCTTTCACTACAGTYAGCCTTAGACTTTCCTATGGCAGTTATTTATTTTAGAAATTTAAAGATCTTATAGTAGTTATTTGTTTTTAGGTTGAGGAATCATATATTAATTAAATGTCAGTATTCCACCKGTATGCCTCTAGTCAGTTAACAGATTTTGAATTTTAGAGTATCTTGTCAATGTCTGCACTTAACTTTCAATAAAACCTACATTTTGGTATACATAACAAGCAYGAATTCTTTCTAAATAATTGGAATATTGTTATGACATTATGTTTCTGTAGTATTTCATATGCACTTTAAACTAAATTTTATATTTAGATGACGGGTTTCTCTAGTCTAATGATTTTTCCATTAGACAATTGATTCTCAAGTCCATGGACAATATCTTGTTTATCCTGTGTTCCTTGATACTTAACCACACTCAGTAAACATTTTACTAAATGAATTAACAAGTATATGAACATGTGCACACACAGTGTTCCTGGAGAGCAGGGTTCTACTTTTTYTATCTTTACTCCAATCTGAAGATGAAATACACATATGCAAACAGCCAGGTCTAGTAGATTTTATCCAGTTCTGGATTATAGGAGAGGTATGACAAACATCACATGGTTACTTTGACACAACAGCTCCTCTATATGGGTTTTATTCCCATCTCTTTTATGATCATTCTATTGTCTCATTCATTCATTTTCTCATTCATTTACTCAAAATCTTTTCATTTTCTCAACTCAGAAAATGACTACTATTCCTTGCCGGCAAAGTGATTCAGTTTTTTTACCTGCCATTTCAGATGTTCATTTTTCTCTTCTTCTGTGAGCTAGTTGATGACTATATTGTAAAATTGTTTCTGCCCAGCTTAAGCACATTGCACTCTTTAAATTAGTCATGCTTCCATCATAGCATGGAAGACTGAATTGATTGTATATTCCTGTTACCATGGTGATGTCCTACAGCTGGAGTTTATAAATAGTGGCATGCTGGACGAATAGCATGTATTTTTATTACTTGTTTTATACCACATATTTTAATAATGACAATCTTTACAGAAGCAAATAGAACATGTAAGTCTATCAAACATTAAATCAACTGTGTTCCTAATAGAAGGTATTTTATGATTTTTACTAGAAGATGTTTTAGATTTGGCTCGAATTTGTATCATAGCTTGAATTTTTGAGCTGTCAGATTTCCAGGATAATTGGATTGGACCTAATGCCTCTGCAGAAGGCCAGGTGTAGTTGGTAAAAAGTCACAGTCTTCTAACTTCAGTAATATTAGAGCTAGGAAGAGGTATTTCTTGCTACACAGAGATTTGCTTCATTTTCTTAAATATGTAAGAAAGTCTTACATCAGCAATTATGTTGATGAAATATGTCACCAAGTATATAAAATTAATTGCAAAATAAACAATTTGCATAAAAACGTGTCTGTGAACTGATCTAGTGAATGCACCTAGACTAGTTCCTATGGCCTTTAACATTATATTTTCTTAAAACAATATTTAAAATTTAATAAATGACTGACTACATTAGAATAAAAGCAGGTATGATCAGAGATTAAGGGAATTATTATTATTCTATATATTTGTTTTAGATTCCCCTGATGTTTCCTTCATCAATTTAAATGTCTGTTGCTAATGAAAACTATATCAACTAATTTTTTCTTTTTGTAATAATAATATGTGAAAAAAGGCTTCGTAATATCCCTGATCCTGAAGAAAGGGTTATGTATGCAAATTACAGTGCTTTTTTAGTATTTTTTAGGTATTGCCTTTTTGTTTTTTATTTAGTTCCCAGCCAGAGTGTGAGAGTCCATGTTGGCACAGTAAGGGCAATTAAACAAAAGAGAAATACAGAATTAAAAAGAAACAGAATGTAGAACATTTCCCTCAACTAGGAATATTATACCTCCCGAGGGTATTCAGAAATATAGAGAGAGAGATTTTTTTTTTTTTTTTTGGTTTCCATAATGATATAAGGGTGTTGGAACTGGTACTGAGTGGGCAGGGCTAACTGTCTTGGTTCCATCCAAGAATAATTCTGACTACAGTGCCGGGGTCCTCACCTGTGCCTTGCCGCACTCCTCAATGCAGTAAGAGGTTTGTTATTTTATCACATTCTGTTTCCTGATTTTTCCAAAAGTTCTCTGTGCAAAATAGTGGTATTTCCATATTAATGAACAAAAGAAACTACTACCTCATCCAGCTGCTGTGTGATGTTTTAGATGAGCTTGAATACCTTCATAAATGACTTGAATATGTAGCATATTAGGGGAAGCAGGTGCTTCAGCTCATACTCAGTCTGAATCTACCTCCTCTAGCCCAACTGTCAGTTTCTTTTAAGAATTTTGTGTGCCTTGGGCTTCTTTTCATTCATAGGGCCTCACATAGTGCCTAACACAC